TCTTCCTCCTCCTCCTCCTCCTCCTCCTCCTCCTCCTCGATGCTTCCGGTTTACGGCAAGGCCAAGGTGGACGACAAGGGCTGGGGCAAAGCTCAGCGTTCCGACCCATGGCAGCAGGGTCGTGATCCTCGGAGCGCTTCCGCCACCGCCGCGGGAGATGTGCAGCCTCATGAGCGCGGTGCTCCTGGTGATGAGGTGCGTCCTGTGGGTGCAGGGCGTCTGGCTCATCGTACTGCTCTCGCCGATCTCCGTGCTGCACGTTTCGGTGTGCCAGACATTGTCAGCAAGAGCATCAAGGCTATAAACAGGACGTCCGGCAGTGGCGCAGGAGATCTTGTGCCTGGCGTTCCTGAATGCATCGCCTGTGTGAGGGCGCACCGGTTCGGCGCGATGGCCTGCCGAGCGTGCGCGGCCGGCTAGTTGTAGCCTGCGCGGGACAATGTTGCAGACGGCGGTGTTCTCTGTAGGTCGGTCCTGCTGGCATGTTGGTTGGAAGACGGGCCCAGTGCCGCTGAGCGGCGCCGGGTCTGCTCTCCAACCTTCGTTGCTGGAAGGCCCAGCCTTGTCCCTCGAAGTGTCCAATCCAATCCACCACCCCCCTCCACCTCCTCCTCCCCTCCTCCTCCTCCTCCTCCTCCTCCTCCTCCTCCTCCTCCCTCCCCCTCCTCCTCCTCTCTCTCCTCCCCCTCCTACCACCCCTCCTCCCCACTCCCTCCTCCCTCCTCCTCATCCCCTCCTCCTCCTCCCGCCCCCTCCCCTCCTCCTCCTCCCCCCCACCTCGCTCCTCCATCTACCTCCTCCTCCTCCTCCTCCTCCTCCTCCTCCTCGTGCTCCCCCGCCCTCCCCGGACGGGCGCAGCGCAGGGGAGCCTCCGCGCCAGCCGCGCTCGCCCGGCGCTCGGCCTCCAGGCGGGCGGCCCGCTCGGCGCGCAGGGCCGCGTCCAGCGTCGCGAGCGTGGCCTGCGCCTGGGCCAGGCCGTCCTCCGTTGGGGCAGCCCCTGGATAGAGGAAAAAGAACTATGCACATGCACCGATTCTGGCCAGGCCCATCCTGAGCCCAAGATCGGTGCATACGCCCTCCTACCTTGGCCAGGAAGGCATATGCACCGATCCTGGGTCAAGGATGGGCCTTGCCAGGATCGGTGCATGTGCATAGTTCTCTTCGCCCGACCTGGACTCGGGGACGGACAGACCCCCTTTTCGCAAAACGTGGTCTGGCGAAAACGACCTGAGGCCCAGACCTGGCGGGCGCAGGCCTGGACAATGACGGCCACGGCGCCCTCTCGAGCCCCGAAAACGGACGACTCACGAATCGACGCGTCACTGTTGGGGGTGCTGTCCCGCCCCGACAGGCCTCCGAGGGCACGAGCTCTCCAATCCGGCAGTTCTTCGTCGATCTAGGCCTCTGGGGCCTGCTCTCGAGCCCGGGGACCATCGACAAAAGGATCCGGGACGAATAAAAAAAAATCTGGGAAGGGGTCGGGACCTCTGGGGCCGAGGGGCCAAACACATCACCTCGCTAGGTCGAGCATGTGCAGGGAAAGTCGGAGTTTCGACGACATTGGAAATAGTTAAAACAATACTCCGACGGAAGAACCCCGCATGGTAATCTGTTTAGCATGCCCTTACCTTTTTCTTCCTCGCCCTGACGATCACTCTAAAAGCGCGCCGTTCTGCCCTCACCTACTCCGGAGTAATTACAGGTTGCCGATGACCTGCTCGGATTACCAACATGAAGTGCGGGACCCATAGGGAGGGGGCTCCCGCCTGAGACTTCCTCACAATTCACTCACAGACGAGGCTCCCGCTTGATACTTCCTCCAAATTCAAGCCTGGTGAGCCCAAACATGACGACAGTTACAGGTTGCCGATGATCCGCTCGGATTACCAACATGGAATGCAAGACCCATAGGGAGGGGGGTCCCGCCTGAGACTTCCGCACACTTCACTCACAGACAAGGCTCCCCCTTGATACTTCCTCCAAGCTCAACCCTGGTGCGCCCAAAAGTGGTGACAGTTACAGGTTGCCGATGACCCGCTCGGATTACCAACGTGAAATGCAGGACCCATAGGGAGGGGGCTCCCGCCTGAGACTTCCGCACAATTCACTCACAGACGAGGCTCCCGCTTGATACTTCCTCAAATTCGACACTGGGAACCCAAAAACTGACGACAGTTACAGGTTGCCGATGACTCGCTCGGATTACTCCATAAGTGCGGGACCCATGGTCGGGGGGGTTGCCGCTGGACTTCCTCACAATTCACAATCACAGACGAGGCTCCCGCTGATAACTTTCCTCCCAAAATCAAGCCCTGGGTGAGCACCAAAAGTTGCGACAGGATTACAGCGTTTCGATTGACCCGCTTCGGATTACCAACATGAAGTCGGGGACCCATAGGGAGGTGGGCTCCCGCCTGATACTTCCTCACAATTCACTCCACAGACAGCCACAAAGCGCATTCCCTCTTATAACGTCCCACCAACTTCAAAGCCTACTGAGACAAATAAAGTCCAAAAGGAAGACAAATACAAGTATCCGATGACCGCCCCTCGGATAACCCCAAAACCCATGAAGTGCGGACCCATAGGGCGGGGTTCCACTACTGAGACTTCCCTCAACTATTCACTCACAGACGAGGCTCCCGCTTGATACTTCCTCCAAATTCAAGCCTGGTGCGCCCAAAAGTGACGACAGTTGCAGGTTGCCGATGACCCGACGAGTGAGTGATGATGATGGGTGAGTGACTAATGATGCAAATGATGAGTGAGTCAGTGAGTGAGTGATCGAGTGATGATGATGGTGAGGAAGATGAATGAGGATAATGAGTGATCGTGCGATGCTGATGGTGACTGGTGGTGGTGATGATGATGATGATGACGAAGTGATGAGTGGGCGTGTAGTGATGATGATGCTGATGATGATGATGATGATGATGGTGATCGTGCGATGCTGATGATGATGAGTGATCGTGCGATGCTGATGGTGATGCTGATGGTGATGCTGATGGTGATGATGATGGTGATGATGATGGGAATGATGATGATGACGATGCTGATGATGATGATGATGCTGATGCTGATGATGATGATGATGCTGATGATGATGATGATGATGATGAGTGGGGAGTGATGGTGATGGTGATGATGATGATGATGATGACGATGATGATGATGATGATGATGAGGAGGAGGAGGAAGCAAGGAGGAGGAGAGGAGAGGGAGGAGGAGGAGGAGGAGGAGGAGGAGGAGGAGGAGGAGAGATCCTGCGCGGAGGGTGTGCAGAGAAAACAATAACCCCATTTAGGATGTGGGGAACAATCAATAATCATTTAACAAATCCCAGAAGAATCGTCCCACGACTATGTTTTGACGATTTCTCCTGTAGAGGGACATGCCCGACTTAATCTTATCGAGGGATGTCTGGGTCTGAGCGTGGCAGTCCACAGGCCTGGCGGCGCGCAGAGAGGGGCCGGGGTCGGGGGGGGGGGCCCAGGATGTACAACTCGGCCGCCACAGGCCCACGCCTTCGCACGGAGAAGCAAGTGGCCCTTCCTCGCACGGGTCACCAAAAACGTCGCCGACGCCGTGAACAAAGCACGACGTCGCGAAAACATCTCAGGACCGAGCTCCCGACCCCGTCGTCAGGCGTTCCCTCCCCAGAAGTGGCGGCGCGCAGGGGGTGCCAGGGGGGGGGGGAAGGCTTCTGGGAGTGAGGCTGCTTCTTAGAGAGCGCGGGCCTTACATCTGCAGACAAGGCCCGCGCCTTCTAAGAAGCAGCCTCCTGCTCAGAAGCCTTCCCTCCTCCCCCTGCACCCCTCTGTGCGTGGCCGACAGGCCCCCTCGGGCCAGGAAAAAAACACGACTGGCGTCTTTGTCATTGCCTTCGGCCTCTGGGGGCCCTTGCTGGGCTCCAGGACCAGCACACAACGCCTCGGGATGAGAAGCTGGTCCCAGAAAATGGGTCGATACCTCTGGGGGACGACGCTATGCTAAAATCATGCCGTTGGGGGGCTGGGGCTCTTGTGAGAAAAACCCTGGAGACCTTGCACGGCAACCTGGTCCTCCTCCTCCTCCTCCTCCTCTGCTTCCTCCTCCTCCTCCTCCTCCTCCTCCTCCTCCTCCTCCTCCTCCCCTGCTTCCTCCTCCTCCTCCTCCTCCTCCTCAGTTCACGTCGGAACCGCGTCAGATTTATGTCGGGACCACGTCGGGTTACGTCGGATGTGCATCGGATTCACCGTGGCCGTCCTCCAGGACAGTATGAGTATGGTAAGAGGAGGCTTCCTTCAGACTCAAGCGCTCAAGGGGCCCACCAGCAGAAGCGCAAACGAGGCGCAAGCGGCCTGCTGGCGATGCGCACCTGCCCGCGCTCGAGGCAGCGGCGCAGATGCCCGCGGCACGGCTGCCAGAGGGGACAGGCGACGACCTCAGCGCGGACGCGGACGACACAAAGATGATGAAGTGCAGCACTGCCGGCAGAGCTGCCAAAGCCGTCGGAGGAGCCGCGCCCGGCGAGGCAGCGAGAGCCCCCAGAGGCAGCACGGGGTGGCGACCCGCAGGCGGGCCGGTCACGCGGTGCTGCCCGACGCCACGATGCATGGCGAGACGGCGGGCGAGGCCGAGGCCGCGACACCTGCGCTGAGCGTGGCCGAGCCCGCGCCCCCAGCCAAGGCAGCTCCTTCCTCCTCCCCTCCTGTGCCGCCTGCTGATGCCGTCGTGCTGCCCGACGCCACGATGCATGACGAGGAGGCGGGCGAGGCGGGGGCCGCGACACCTGCGCTGAGCGTGGCCGAGCTCGCGGCCCCAGCCAATGCGTTTCCCTCCTCCTCCCCTCCTGTGCCGCCTGCTGATGCTGTCGTGGATGGTGGTCGGAGGCTTGAGGTGGGGCGAGCGGGGGGGAGGCGTTACCCCGGACCAAGGCCATGAGCTCGCGACGCGGGGCCAATCCTCATCCTGTGCCGAAGGTGCGGGGCACACGTCTCTGCCGCCAGAGGCGCGACGAGCCTCGCGAACGCGTGCCCCAGACCCCCTGCCGCCGCTGCAGGCGCGCGCCTGCCCGCTCAGAGCAAGGCAAGCACACTCGGTGGACCCGTTTGCTGGATGGCCTCGATAGGCCCTTGCGGGCTCTCGGGTGCCCTGGTCTGGGATCCGCGTGACCACGCTAGCGGCGGGGGTGCCTCGGGGCCCGGGCGTGGGCTCGCACCTGGGGTCTGGGCAGGCTCCAGTAGGCCTCGTCCCGGGGGGCGGTGCGTCCCCATCTTGGCGTCGGCCCCTGGGCCGCATCTGAGGTCGCTCCTGGCGGGGATTCCGCGCGGCGTCGTGGTGCACCCTGTAGGGATATCGGTGCACATATAACCGGCCTACGCTTCGTAGCCAGCGCGCTGCCTACGGAGCGTTGCGCGTCAGCGGGTGCGACACACACACACACACACCACACAAACATATCTATATATATATATATATATGTATACACATACATAGACACATATACAAACATACACACACACACAGCACTCACGCGCGCGCGATGCTGCGAGAGAAAGAGGGCCTCGCTCGAACAGGACCCATGGGAAGACGAGAAGGAGGAGAGATAACAACCAGAGTGAGTACTCAAAAAGTTAGAATCAATGGGACGGGTTCACATTTCTCTCAAGCGAACAGTTGTAGACCCCCCAAAAAAAAACAGCCACGGGCGGCCGCTTGCCCAGACCTCGCGGGAACCCTCCAAGATAGTTCAAAACAGCCCCCCCAAGAAATCAGACCACCACCGATTCATCTGGAAAACCAGCGTCATCGTACGGGGCAGGTCTGCGAAGCGTGGAGGGGAAGAAAGCTTTGTGTTTGACGGTTGGCTGGGGGCGGAGGCTCCATGGTGCCAGATATCACATCATCACCGCCACTGGCGTCAGCGTCAGGAGGAGCAGAACACGGAGGAGGTTCGAACTTCGAGGATCGACCTGCGAAGTTCTCGACGTGGGAGGATGAGGAAGAACACGACGAGGAGGACAACGAGAACGCGAAGGAGGAGGGTGGGGAAGAGCCAAGGAGGAAGACAGAGGACGAGGATCGAACTGCGAGGATCGAGGCATTGGTGCGCGTCGGCAAATTAAGAAGGCCTTCAAGGGTACGTTTCGCCTGCGCGGCTGCATCGGCCCCGAAGGCTTGGTCAGAGCGCAACTCTGGAGTGGCCGCGGCGCTGTGACATGATTCGGAGAATGTAGAGTGGAAAGGAGGAGGAGGAGGAGGAGGAAAAGGAGGAGGAGGAGGACAGGACAAGACAGGACAGGACAGGACAGGACAGGACAGGACATCCGCATGAGAGGGGTCTCGACGTCAATGCGCCCGCTAAGGTGCAGTGTGGAGCGTCTGCGTAACTCCCCTGCGTGAGGAATATGCAATCAGGACCCGACAGCCCTTCGACATCAAATCGAAAGAACTGCCAAGGCCTGCGCAGAGACCGGTGGACACCGGCCACTAAGCGTGCACGCTGCCCTCCTCACCCCGACCCCTCACTCCCCCCCGCCTCCACTACAGGCGATCGTGCAGGCCCGTTCGCAGGGAGCCCTGGATTACCAGTCAGTAGCTCTGTTGCGAGCCAATGGGTGCGGCACCGCCGGCACGTTCTGCCAGGGCCTACGCCGATGGCACGTGCGCGCGGACCTGCACAAGAGGAAGACGGGTTCCCTATGCCCCTCCCTGCGCCGAGATAGGAGGGGGAGGAGGACGAGGAGGAGGAGGCGGAGGCGGAGGCGGAGGAGGAGGACGAGGCAAAGTGGGATAATCACCGAGAGTGCGGCAGGTGTGGAGAGAAAGTGCCCTAGCAGTCTTTGACCTGTGGTGGCGGGGGGAGGCTTGGTATATGGTGGCGGGGGGGGGGATCAGGGAGGAAGGGGCGGAGGAGGAGTTGGACGCTAAGAAACGAAGAACAGCAGACGGAGGACGAGGTGGAGACGTTGATGATGGCGAGGGGTGGTCTGTTTCACAATACCCTCTGGTCCTCCACTCTCGCGGCGGCCGCCACCTTCTGCTCCGCCTGCGGGAAAAGGAAAGACAGAAGACAGCGGAGGGGTTAGACGCCAAAAGACCCTCACAACGGCTGTTGCCCGAAGCAGCCATGGACCAAGGCACGCCCAAGCTGTTACCAGGGAGGTGCAGGATGGCCCCAATAACACCCATCACAAGACTCAAAGGACCCCACAAGGCCCCCAGTTGTGGGAAACCGAAGAATCCCGATACCACTCCGTGCACCGCTCTTGGGGTGAGTGGCGAGCTCTTAACAAAATTTCCGAACGAATCCAACCGTGGCGGTGCGAGCACTTCTTGACGAACAACAAGATCTGTAATCACAAAAAACCATTCATTGATATCCAGGCTCAACACAGAATAACCTTCCCGGGGTAAACTTGAGAGTTATAAGCACCCATCAATGCCCGGCACATGATTCTTCCGTCATCGCCACCGTCTTCGTCGCCGCCGTCGCCGTCGTCACCCTACAACTACAACAACTACTACTACTACTGCTACTGCTACTGCTACTACTACTACTACTACTACTACTATTACTACTACTACTACTACTACTACTACTACTACTACTACTACTACTACTACTACTACTACTGCTACTACTGCTACGACTACGACTACGACTACTACTACTGCTACTGCTACTACTACTACGACTATTACTACCGCTACGACGACTGCGACTGCGACTACGACTACGACTGAGAGTACGGCAACTACTGCTACCGCTACTACTACGACGAGTAATACTACGACTGCCACTACTACTGCTACTACTCACACGAAGACGACGACTACAACTGTTACTACGACCCTTACGACGACCCTTACTACGACTACTACTACTACTACTACTACTACTACTACGACTACGGCTACGGCTACTATTACTACTACTACTACTACTGCTACTACTACTACTACTACTACTACTACGACTACTACTACTACTACCACTACTACTACTACTACTACTACCACTACTACTACTACTACTACTACTACTACTACTACGGTTACTACTACTACTACCACTACTACTACTACAACTGCTACTACTACTACTACTACTACTAGTATTACGACTACTCCTGCTACGACGACGGCTACTACTACTGCTGCTACTGCGACCACCACTACAACTACTACGAGTACTACTCTTACTACACTACTACAACTACTACCACTACTACTACTACTACTACTACTACTACTACTACTACTACTACTACTACGACCACTACTACTACTACTACTACTACTACTACTACTACTACTACTACTATTACT